TCTCTCTGTGTGTGTGTGTGTGTGTGTGTGTGTGTGTGTGTGTGTGTGTGTGTCTTTCTCACTAGAGATTGGAGGAGCTTCGTCGACTAGGGCAGAGAGGGGAGATCGGAGGTCGGGATTGGCTATGGCTTGGAGTCGGGAGGAGATCGACGGGATGATTGGGGGATTTCGCGTGTGTGGAGATGTCGGGAATTCTATGTGGAGCGAACGAGAGAGAGCAACAATGACAGGAGCTTGGGTTTGCTTTTGAAGACGTTGGAGAGCAGTGCTCGAGGAGCTGCCGCAGAATTTGAGCAGGGATCCCGGAACGACCCCGAATGTACAGTGATTCGGCGGGCTTGAGCGGGATTTGCGGGATCTTGCAGCAGAGGTATGCGGGATATCTGCTCTTCTCTCTCTCTCTCTCTTTTTTATAGAGGGGTTAACACCGGCGGTTAAGGAAGGATATAATAGGTGTAATTAATGGGGAGAGGGGAATTGGGATGGAATTTAAAACTTTCAAAATCATGATTCTAAATTAGGAAAAGGGTAATTAAATCAAATCTAATTTAAAATCAAATTAGACTTAAATTTAGGAACTTTTCTAATTTAGCTAAGTTAATTTTAGAAAAGTATTTGAAATTCAAATTTGAATTTCAAATATATTTAATTTTTACCCCAAATTAGTTAGGCTAATTTTAGTAGGTATTAATGATGATTGAAATCATTATTAAGAGGAAAAAAGGGATGGGGTGGCCAGCAACTAGGAGGATGGGAGGAGATGGGTGGCCGACTAGAAGGGGTGGTGGTGGAGTGATTTATGACCGACGGTTGATATTGATAAATTGGAAGAGGCTTGTGGTTTTGGAGGGGTTTGTGGAAGAATCGGCCGGTGGCAAGTGAGGGATTTTGGATGGCGGTCAAGGGAGGAGAAAATGATTTAGGGAAAGAAAGATACAATCGTGAGCTCGGACACATCCTGCAGCTGACGGGTAATACGTTGTCCTTCTTCAAGGGACTTCAAGCCACAAGCCTGGACCCATCTTACAGCTAGTGGAAACTCTGATTCCCTCCCATAGGAATCTCACCCAAGTTCTCCCCAAATAGCACAAGTGCAAACAAAATTTTATTAATAATCTATCATTAAATTACACAAGCAATGGCCTCTATATATAGGCCTAAAAAATAAAACAAGACACATATGCCCTTAGGGCTTACATAGGACAATCCTATTAAGTAAGGGTAAAAACGTAAAATTCATAATAAAAATAAAAATTATAAATAATAAATTAAGATAAGGTGGAATGATCCCGACCGTTGATCGTCGCCTCCTCTTTTGAAAATCTTCATGATCGGATGTCCGCATCATTCTCCCGGGGTGGAAAAGAGCTCGACTCCGTCCAGTCTGCACCACGGGTAACCATGATCTGATACCAAACTGATATAGAACAAAGGGGGGAAATAAAAAATAAATATCTGAAATTCAATTTCAGATTTCGCTTAATTAAGGGATTGGAATTTGAAATTCAAATAAGATGAAGGGAAGTATAAATAGGTGATTAATTATTCCCCTAATTGGATTCCTTAATAAGGAAATAATTAAAATAAGGGAGAGATGGGACCGGCCATAAGGGGTGAGAGGAGAAATGTCCACATATAATGTATGTGGACCATAGCATTAAATGTGATGGGCTAATTAAATCTGAAATTAATTTCAAATTTGAGAGATTTGAAGGGTTTCCTAAATGAGAGTTGGTTTAATTAGAAAGCGTTTGGAATTCAAATTATTGTGCATTTGAATTCAAATTCTTTCCAAATATCAAGAGGCTAGATAAGGAAATAACTAATATGGATTTAATTTGGGATCAAATGAGAAGTGAGAGGGAGGCCAGCGATTAACGAATGATATAACGGGTGTAATTAATGGAGAGAGGGGAATTGAGAGGGAATTTAAAACTTTCGAAATCATGATTCTAAGTTAGGAAAAGGGTAATTAAATCAAATCTAATTTAAAATCAAATTAGACTTAAATTTAGGAACTTTTCTAATTTATATTTAGTTAATTTTAGGAAAGTATTTGAAATTCAAATTTGAATTTCAAATATATTTAATTCTTACCCCAAATTAGGTAGGCTAATTTTGGTAGGTATTAATGATAATTGAAATCATCATTAAGAGGAAAAAGGGATGGGGTGGCCGGCGGCTAGGAGGATGGGAGGAGATGGGGTGGCCGACTAGGAGGTGGTGGTGGAGTGGTTTATGACCAGCGGTTGATAAATTGGAGGCTTGTGGTTTTGGAGGGGTTTGTGGGAGAATCGACCGGTAGCAAGTGGGGGATTTTGGTCAGCGGTCAAGGGAGGAGGAGAAAATGATTTAGGTAAAGAAAGATACAACCGTGAGCTCGAACACATCCTACAGCTAACGGGTAATACGTTGTGCTTCTCTAAGGGACTTCAAGCCACGAGCCCAAACCCATCCTGCGGCTGGTGGAAACTCTGATTCCCTCCCATAGGAATCTCACCCAAGTTCTCTCCAAAGAGCACAAGTGCAAACAAAATTTTATTAATAATGCATCATTATATTGTACAAGCAATGGCTTTTATATATAGGCCTAAAAAGTAAAACAAGACACATATGCCCCTAGGGCTTACATAGGATGATCCTATTAAGTAAGGGTAAAAACAAAAAATTCATAATAAAAATAAAAATAACAAATTAAGATAAGGTGGAATGATCCCGGCCGTCGATCGTCGCTTCCTCCTTTGAAAATCTTCATGATCGGATGTCCGCATCATATATCTAATAAAAAGTTTAATTTAAAAATTAAAAAATACCCCTAATTTTAAAACCATTATGTCCACCATTCATTAATTTGAATGTTGGGACCAAAATGATCACATTTTAAATAATTGAGAGACCAAAATGGCCCCTCAAAATAGTTGTGGACCTTTTTGGTCATTCCTACAGAGTTGGACCATTTTAATCTTTTTCTCTGAACAAGCATGAGCAGAGCAACTCTAGGCTTGGTTTGGCTCAGTCATTGCCCTAACATACATGCCCTTGCTTGATAACTAACTAACAAAAAGGCGAGGAGCAAAAGAATGGCAAGAGCATCCAAAAAAACTTCCATCAGACAACCACAACAAGGTTATCTTTCCACCTACAATTTGATACAACCGATAAACTTAATGTCAAGGTAAACAAAAACTTCTAGCACATGGAAAAGGGCAGCATGCTTTTAAGATGTTTGAACATCCGAACTTTTACCTATTTTATTATAAGAGAAAGCAAACAGAACAAAGAAACAATTAAAGATTATGCAACATACACCTAATATTGATTTGCCAAAAAAGTAATACAATCAAATTTGATTTATTCAAGTAAAAATCACTTTATGCCATCTCCTACTGCAAGAATTACAAAAAATTTCCAAAATAAACATTATGATATTGAATTATAATAGGGTCATCCTACATTGAACCTATTAAATTTGCATATTAATAAATTAGATGAAATTTCCCAGCCTCGCCTATGTATTGCAAAACAGTACAGGTAATATTTGAATAATTAATGAAAAATCAATTGAATACATCCAGTAGGATGAGACCGACCGATCTGGGTTGAAAATAAACTAAACAAAGCATTACATATCAACGGATGGAAAGAATTGATAAATAACAGACATGAGGATACTTTTAGTGATTTCAACCATGTGAATTAGCAAGGAAGTACCTGAATAGCTGGATTTGAGGTCAAAACGAGAGATATGCTTAGACCATCAAACGCTTCACTCAATGAACCATTTGAAAGGGTTTCCCACAATCCTTTAGATTTTCCAAAGGCACTAGTTTGCATCCTGGAAGCTGCTGTATCCAATGGCTATAAAGTTAACCAAATTAGAACCTTTAACGTCAAGAGATAAAACAGGTTTTAAGGTTGGCATTGAATGGCATATACAAACCTGGGTAATAATAGCAGTACAAGCTCCAGCAAAAGCAGCAATAATCAAGTTCACAGTAGTTCCAATGGATTTGAATCCACTCTTCACAAGATAGAGTCGTTTGAAATAGCTATAGCCATAGAAGTACACAAATTGTGCAATGACAGATTGTAAGTTCTTTGTGCCAAGTCCTTGGTATAGCGAAAGAATCTGTCCCTTGGAAATTGCTTCAAACAAAACATCTGACAGTTTCCTGGACAAAACCATTAAAAAGAAAAAAATTATCAAACTTTACAGTGCTCTCTAGTCAGCGAGGCTATATACCTGCAAGGACTAAACATACATAAAAATAATAATAATTAACACTCTCTAATCGAGAATATCATGATTTTGGTCTTGAAAAAGGCTTCAAGCCACTGAATTGATCTAGAAGCACTAGTACTATCGTCACATAAACTTCTCCAGAAATCAAGGCAAACTATATAATCATGAATACAAAGCTGATAGCAACAATGAACAAATAATAATTAATACAAAAGCACTCCAGCAACTCCTAGTAGGCTGAAGGTTAATGGCGCAAGGAAAAAGTTAAATCAGGACTACTGTTCACTGCAATCTTGTTCTTAGTGCTCTGTTATTTGATTTAAGGGGAGAAACCAGTAATTCAGTTCCTTTAGCAACAACAACAAAAAAAGACTTAATTTTACCCACTCCCACATAATACAGTTAGGAGAGTAGAGGTATTAGATTTGACTTATGTTAAGAAAGGTAGAGGCAAGCCTAAAAAGGCTTGGTTAGAAAATATTAGGAATGACCTTTCTTTATTAGATTTAAACGAGAATTTGACCTTTAATAGGACACAATGGAGAAAAAGTTTCATGTAGCCGACCCTACGTAGTGGGATAAAGGCTTGATGTTTTTGTTGTTGTACTTGTGTTATAATGGCCCCAGCTTGAAGCGACTAAAGGTTGAGCAAATAAATTGAAATTAAAAAACAATTAGTTTTTAATTAAAAATTAAATTTAATATCATAAATCATACATATTAAATTAGCCATTAGATTATAAAGTTGAAAACATTATATAATAGCTAAGGGTTTAAATAAATTTGTTATAATTTTCAATTTGGATTCAAATTTTAAAATAAGGGCATGGATGAACATAGAGTTAAAAATTAATTAAAATAGTTATTTCAAAATCAAAATTATGTCATATGTCAAATTAAATTTAAAAATAATGTCATGCATTATGTGATAGGTATGTTTTGAATGTATCTGAATTAAATTTAGAACTGAACCGCATGGCAACTGTAAGATCCAAACAGGTATGTACATTTAATTAAATGTATTGTTTTAAAAAAATGATTTTAAGTTTAATAATCAATTTCTGTTAAATAAATATTAACAGTTAAGTATTGTTAATTATGTAATATTTTAATATCTTAAACTAATGTTAATTAGACTATAATACTATTACGTGGAATAATTGTAAATTCTGGTTCCTATCAGCCATCCAAAAGTAGCATCTTTTGGCTCTTTTCACGTAACAGGAAATGGAGAATTGGGATTGGTTGAAATGTGGGGGCAGTTGTGTTGGGCCCCACTTGCAATTGGTTACTAGTATACAAAAGGAATAGATAAATATGGATTTAAGTGGGGGAAACTACTGCATTACACGACATAAAGCATTGGGAAGAATTACTGATGATGCAATGAGAAAAATAGCAGCATAGTGTAGTGTAGAGGGTTCGGTACAGGGAAAGTCTCGGTACAGAGAAATGAAACCAGCACAGTACTTTGCTCTGTAAGGATCGCATAAAGCATCAGTCCTGTAGCAATTCACGGCATAGTGGCAGTGCAAGCTAAGGGAAAATTTCTAAATTCCTGTAGCAAATTGCGGCTTAGTGTTGAAGGAATTTTTTTGAGAAAAATTCAACAGTTCAGATAAGTGGAAATAAAATTATCAGAAATCTGTTACAAAGATTTCTATGGTTGATTTAGATTAATATGACAAATTATAATTTAATATGTTTGTAAACTGATTTGAAAGCAGTGAACAGTAAACTTTGGAAGGATTTGGAGTAAGAATCAAAAGAAAGTTTAGAGGAATAATAGAAGCTTAGAATTTTGGAAGAAGGTAAGAAGTATACTATTTATCATTATCTTTTATGTTACCTAAATGTAATAACATTTCTAAAGATAATATTCTATTCGTATGGTAGGATTATTCATAGATTTATGCAGAAAGAAAGGTTTGAGTTTGTGTATCAAAGGAAAAGGCTTCGTGGTATAAGTTTTGAAGAGACCACTCGGGAGGAAGGTAAGTTATGTAATTATTTATAATTGTAATGATTATGAATGGTTAGTCTATCCTTTATGTTTTGAAATTTTATTATAATGAGATGAATTATGAGAATTTTTGTTAGTCATCATGAGAATACATTGGGGTATTCACAACTATCTATCCATGAGAATAAGAGAAATTTGATAGATGTTTAAGGTTGCTTATTTCAGCCTTTCCTTAATTGATAATTTTATGCAAAGAATTTTTCTTTTCAACTTAGTAGCTATCAAATTCTTAATACACCAGATGTATGAGTATAAGCATACTTGGAGGTTGTAACCATTAAAATCAAATATAAATTATGAAGATATGATGCAAGGAATATCAAGTTAAAAGTAAAGATTGGCTATTCTATGATATGATATTTGCAATATCATGTGGGCAAAAGAGACCCAATTACTAAACATGTATTATAGGTGGGGCAAAAGGGACCCCAAAAGAAAAGATACATGCGTAGCAGGTGGGGCAAAAGGGACCCCTAATGAGGAAAAAGGAATCTCAATGTAATTCAATGGTGATAATGTCAGGTTTATCTGAGCTCCATTGAATATTGTTATGAATGTATAGTCAAGTCTTTTACATAATTAATTTGATATTCAGTATAACTTCAAAGAGGTAAAGAATGATGCTAATTAAGATTTATGATGTTGTTATCAATAAAAATGAGTTTAATGATCTATGACTTCAAGACTTTGATTTATTTCTCTTGTTATATTATAACTTTGATTTAGATTACATAATTTGCTGGGCCTCATAGCTCACCAGTTACTTTTTACTGGCTGTTTTTACAGGAAAAAGGGAATGGAAGAGTGAAGGAAGTTTGATATACAAGTATTTATGTTTTATGTCAATGTTTATTTAAATTTAGAAATCTACTCTTGAGGTTAGTAAATAATTTTAATGTTGTATTACTTAGAATTGTTTGGATTTTTTTAGTAGCTCTGTACTAAGTCTTTAATAAAACTTGGGAATTACTAGATGCTTCATTTGTTGTATTAGATGAAGTTTATATGATCTTTTATATAGATTTCAAATGGAATGACATGAATGAGATTTTTAGTGATGGAAATGTTATGTTATTCTTGTTACCCTCTACAGTACTGTTAAGGGGTACTGTAGGGTGTTACAGCAACCACCTCAACTGCCAAGTCCGATCTCTTGGAGATATGCACACATTATACCATACAAATTAGTTTAGTATATCAAATATCCTTGTACTTTACAGGTTAAATGCCAGCAGGAAGATCCAAATCCATCTTTCCACGGATATTCCATTGAATTTTCTTTAATTTCCATTTACATTCAGCTCTAAGGGTCACGAATGTATGCTGGTGTACGTTTTTTGTTTAATCAGGTTAAATGCCAGCAGGATATATGCTTGTACTTTACGGCTAGTATTTTTTTTATTTCCTAGCCACCAATTCCACTTAAGTTTAATCAAACAATCCTTCCTTGATCTCTCCAAGATTTTAAAATCCAAAATTCAATTTTTCAAAGTTTTGAATGTTGAAATTCAAATTTTCAAAAATTTGAGTCACTTTTTTACATTAAAATTGCAACCGCAAATCAAAAATCACAAATACAGTTTTTTACACCAATTAACACATACATAAACTAGGAATGCTACTTAAGGCACATACATAGAAATAAAATTCTCCGTGAGAGCTTCAATTTTGCATGTTGGACCAGATACTTGAATCTTCTTCTTGGATGCGAAACCTTATGCCACATCACAAACCAACCCAACTCTATTCGCTTACTAACATCAGTAGAAAAAACGAATACTTCAGACGTACATTTGGTATATTTAATCAAATATTTATAGTTATGAGTCTGAAAAGAGAAAGAATTAATTGTTTAATAATTAAATCATTAGTAAACCATAACTGACAAAGGAGGAGCATATTATTTTTGCCTTTTTTTTTTTGTTTGTTCTATGTAACAGCCCAAACTCTTAACAATCAAGATATTATCCACTTTGGTCTAAGAGCCTCACAGTTTTGTTCTGTTGGTGTAACATCCCAGGAGATTACCCATCCCAGGATTTCTCTAGGATGAGCACGCTTAACTGTATAGTTTAGTAATGAAATTCTAACTATTACATCAAAATGTGTCTCGATGTTTAAGAGTTTAGTTTCTTTTTATTTAAGGGGTTTTACAATCTTCTCCACTTTAGTAACAGACACCCTCTTCAATATCTTTACCCTGGAATCATACTCCAGGCAGATAAAATTCTAGAGGTGACCCCTACAAGTTCAAGTGGTGACTCCCGCCACATAGCACTTTGTCCCATACAAGGTTTAAGAGTTGGCTCCCATGGCGTAGCACTTTGTCTTGTATAGCAGTTAGTTCTCATCTTACGGCTGGTATATAACAGCTCAAACTCTTAACTATCGAGATATTGTCTGTTTTGGCCTAAGGGCCTTACGGTTTTGTCATGATGATATAACTTCCTAAAAGATCACCCATCTCAGGATTTCTTCGAGATGAGCACGCTTAACTATAATGTTTTTTAATAAAATTCCAACAATTACACCAAAAAGCGCCTCGATGTTTAAGAGTTTAGCTTATTTATACTTAGGGGTTTTCTAACTCTATATTATATGCTATTGAATTGAGTTTCCTAGAAAGACTAATAAAAGGAACAAACAAAGCTAAGATTGATACAAAGAGTTGTTGGAGCATCAACACCACAAATCCAATGTTGGTAAAAACAACCATGAATAGTAATGGTGCATTAAATAACCTCTTAGGTTGTGAGAGAGTAAGTTGTGGAAGAAATTGATAGTTTAACCATCCTATTAAATAGTACAATTTCATTGATGCTTTTTAAAAAGAAAGAAGGCTTATACTCATTTCCTCAAAAGTGTCTCTCGCATATCAAATTTCTAAGAGAGCTTGTTGCTCTAGAGACATTAGTCTATTATCCAAGGGTTTAGGGCCATAGGTTCGTAGAGCTACTATGTTTTTTTATTCGGTACTAAAACATTTTGGCCCACACCCCAATTGAGTTATGTATACATGTACGATATTCACTAGTTGCTAGTTTTCTACTCTATGAAATGGAGGAGCACGTGTTTTCTTTAACTCATAAAAGGGATTTCCAAAAGGAGACCTATTGGCTCCATCATTCTTCATTATCTTGTGGAGGTCCATCTTTAGTAGGGGCATTTCAATCTCTTTTCTATCTCACAAGCTTAACAATGTGTAAGATGTTATTTTATGTTAGCCTCTAAAGCCCCTACTAGACTACAGTGCTTTGGTATTCCTCTTTATATCTTGTAGATGCAAAAAAGCATTCTTTGCTGCTATTATGGAAAAGATCCTTCAAGTTCAAAGATGGCATTCTTCAGTACTTTTTGCCCGTGGTAAGATTATTTTTGTCAAACAAGTTCTATTAGCTATCCTAATGCTATGTCTGTAACGAGGATGGCTATCCAACAAGCATTCACTCATTGATTAAGATTTAAGAACATTACTTCTATTTGGGGCTCTAATTAAGAGCACAACACAAAAGTACTCAAGATCATAGACTAGTAAATGTCAACTAAATCAAGAGGGTTTGTTTAAGTGGATTATTTTCTTTCGCCCCAAAGAAATATTGGCTTTTTCATGCTTTCAATATTATACCCAACTTACATACTAAAAATATTTCATCATTGGTAGCCCACTCTAGCCTGATCCAACAACTCTTGCTTGATCCACCAAGAAATATGTGGGGCTTAGCAGCATATAGTAGGGTGAGTATTCTAAAACTTCAATAGCCTTCATTCGGGGGAATTGGTCAATGTTAAAAGGGGATTACATAAGAAAATCAATTCCATTAATAAGAAAAAGCCAAGCAAACCATTAATCAAGCTAGATTTTTGCGATAGATACTCGGTGATTTGATGAAATCTGATCTAATGAACGAGTCAAATTTTGTTCTATGAATAAGAAGCAGAATAAATTGAGGGCATTGGCAGTAGCTACATTACAAGGGTTAGGTGAAAAGGTTTGCTTTCTTTCTGGGCAAGTATAATGGAAAAAATAGTTCAAGTTAATTCTTTCCTTTCAAATATGGGCTCATTCCTCTAGAGTTATCTATTCGCATCAATTTAATCTCTTATCTTTCTTAGGCAGTTTCATGGGCAACTCGTTCAAACTACTCTAGGACTAAACATCTTAATTTGCATTCAGGTGTTTTTAAAAAAAGTGAAAAGTGTTTTAGATAATCTTTTCAATGCAAAAAGAAGGAATTAATGTTCTTTCACTGTGAAGTATTCTTTGGTTACTTGATGGTTTAGTTTATATGGAAGCTTAGTAAGCATAATAGAAGTGATGTTGCATCAAAGGGTTGTGTTGAGTTAGTTATTTTGATGTTAGTTGATGTGTGGAGGCAGTTGTTGGCCATAATATTAGTTTGAGGTTGTTAAATAGATGGACGACTTAATGTCTCATGATTTAGTTAGTTAGGCAGCGAAAAATTTTAACTCCATAGTAAGCTTCAAGGTTGGCTCTTCGGATTAGAAAGTTCAGCCCTACCACCCATCTTATAATATAAGTAGTCTTTTTTGCCTAGTTCAACAATATCAACAAGCTTGATCATTCAATCGCTTATAAATTAATGGTGTTGGATTCACTAATCATTAAAAAATGATTAGTGCAAGAATCTTTCACTGATCAATCTCATCCATGTCAAAATTTAGAATTCCAATTTCAACCAGTCGTAGAATGGGCATTATAGGAAAGAATGAGAAGAAAAAGATGAAAATTGACTAATAATAACAAATTGTTTTCGAAATGCAGACATCTAGTCCAATCTAGTAGTAAGGAATCTACTAAAAAGCAACCAAAATATTACTTGGTGCATTGAAGAAATCTTGAACTATGCTCATACATATTTCTTAAGATAGGTAAAGCTAACAGAAATATAGTGGATACTCCCAATTTGTTAGGTATATTGCAAAGAATGATATTGATCGGTAGGAAATATCATTCTGGTATATTATGAGGCCGGGTAGGCATCGAATTAGTAGGTATAAATTATCAGGATGCCTCAAAACATTAGGAGTATAAGAAAATTCAAATGAAAAAAAAGGATGGTAGAAGCTACTAGACTTACATGATTCTTTATATAAAAATAAGGATAATAACAAATATATTAATGCAGCCATATGAAGAAGACTAATGCTTGCTAAAAGAAAGGAAAATGAATGATGAATACTAAGAAAGTTATTCCAGGCATTGTCCATGAAGGAAACACCCAAAATTTAAGTCACTATGATATCCCCTCCTATAGTTATGGAGCTCGCTATGTTTGTAATTATTGTAGCTTCCAAAAAGTTTATCTAACTCCAAGGTGGTACATATCCTATAAAAGGTATGACAATCAGGAATAGAGATGTCATAACTTTTAGTCATTGAACAAATTCCCATGGGATTGTTATAACAGCCATAACATAGAGCTCGATATTGATGAAGGCAAATCATAATGAGAAACATACTTGCCCCATTTACATGCATATAAAGGAGCAACCAAACCTTTTAAACAACTCTCATAACGAGTTCCATGTTGTTGAAATCAAGATCTTCATGAGGTGTGTGATGCATAGCTAAAAAAATGCCAATCATTATCAAAATGGTTGAAAAAAAAATACCAGCTAATGAATTGAGCAATCGCCACCAATAACACAAATTGGTCAAAATTAGATAATCTATCAATTGTTGTTAAGTGTGAAGGATATTGGTTGTTTAAAAAGAGAGAATCATTGCTTTCTTATAGTCCTTTCTCTTTTCGATTGTGACAACTCTTCTTCACCATTCTTTCTTTGCTTTACACCTTGCCTTTACTCCATGAAAATAGACTTAATTGCACCATTCATGCATATAAATGCATCCTATTTTTGTGAGAGGGGTGTAGTGAATAACAGGAGTTATAGATTTCTCAATTGATTGATTCATAAGGTAACACCATTCAAAGTGGCATTAAAACTACTTTAGATGTTGTACACATAGTTATCTTCTATTTAACCAAGAGTACTACACTTTATATAGTCTATTTATGAGAAGTTAGATGCTGTAGAGAGGCCCCCTCTTTAATACCCATCCAATTACCATCTTTGATTTGAGAATTGCAATGAGTTTAAGATTGCTTTCCTGGAGGTAGACAATAGAAGATCAAAAACCTTGCTTGTGAACCAACAAAAGAGCTCACCTTTGTTCTATTGGTTTGGTGGCTGCTACCAAGATGAATTCTGGATGCCCATCAAAGGATCTTAAGATGTTAATCCATTAAAAGTTATACATGAAATGGGAATATGTTCAAATACTCCATGATATTGATTCGTAGAAATTTAACAACTTGTGCAAAGGAACTATCCCTCAGTAACTTGCACAGCTTAGAACAATGTTTGTTCAAAATCTCATATGGATAATCAAAATCATGACAAAAGTCTTTAGAAAGTTTTTGTTTCAATTCATATTTAGCATCTAGCATTTTACGTTTGTGATTTCTTAGATTTCTCATGTCCGACACTCAGCTTTCCCCTCATTTTTAACAATTTCTTAGATTTCTCATGTCCGACACTCAGCTTTCCTCTCATTTTTAACAAAAAATCGCTCCATGGTCGTAAAGTCTCACTTTTTGTTTCAAAGTTACAATACTCAAGTTGAATCCTCCAAGATACTCAAAGGTCTTGAGATAATCTACCCGTTTCAAGGAGAATTTTATGGAAAAAAAGAACGTGGATTCATTTTTTTTGACTAGAGAATAGAAAATAAATAGTATTGCCAAGATTCTTACCAAAAAATGATTTATTCCATGTCCTCGAAGAGCACTTTTTAATGCAAACTCAGTGGCCCATCCAATGCCTTTTCAAACCCAAGAATGGATTGGATCGAAATGACTTTCTGCTTAGAAAGAAGGGCCCATCATCTCCACAAATAAATTTCCAAATGAGATTCCAAAATCACAGTTTGGTAATTCTTCTTATACCAACAAAGTTATAAAGGTACTTAGTTCCAAAAGAATATTTATTCACAACTTTTTTAATATAACTCAGTTTGCATAACAGTCTTAAGCCTCCGAGACAACCATAAAAGAACCAAAGAAGAAAATATAACCGTGCAAAATCTCTCAACTGCAAATCAACAACATCTTGATCAGACTCTTCTCTCATAGAAACACCACATGCCGAGCCGAAAAAGAAAGTAACAGCTTCAGCACATATTTTTATCCTAAGTGAAATCAATACATGTATATTTCCTGATTTTAAAATCAAGCAGCTTAAAAAAGCATCCCGCAAATGCGATCAAGCTCTGAAATTACCAAATAGACACGTGAAAGAACGATTCATCGACTTAAAGAAGGGAATGATCCGATACCTGTACTTCTTCTGGCCGTGGGATCCGACTTCGGCCTGATACTTGGTCTTGCATGTATCAAGCGGGTAGAGCACGGTTGTGCTCACCAGCGCCCCCACCGCACCCGACGTCGCCTCCGCCAGAGATTCGAAGTTTACATTTGCCATCTTCTCAGATCAAAGTACGTTGACTTGAATCAAAGCGAGTTTCTTGAGGCACTGCTGGTCTCCTCGCAGTCAATACAATTTATCGATCCTGTTCTCCTTCTCCTCAAATATCCCAGCTTTGAACTGCGTGATCACAATAGAAAGAGCGATCCTCAAATAAAAAGTAAAGGTTCGAACACGGTCGGAGGAGGGTAGGTAGAGAAGTCCAAATGGAAAACAGAGCGCGTATGAAAAAGATGCGAGTTTGGAGAGAATGAGAGAGAGACGGGGCCAGGTGTTGGGTTTTAAGGAGTGACGGATTCCTAATTACTGTGTCATTTTCAGAAAACAAAGAGAAAATAAAATTTCTCTTTGCGATTGCAACCGGCGTGGCCTCCCATCGAAATCAATCATCAATTATCAAAAATAGTGATTTTAAACAAGAGAATACATAGACAATATCTAAACTTATTTTATTCATAGATTTAATATCTAAATTTTATTATTTATATAATTTATCTTTGTATTAATGTCGTCCCTCTTATTTGCGACCCTGAAACCCTGCACAATGAATGAGAAGAACGGAATATGAAGGAAATATGACTAATAATGGGATTGAAAACATGCGAAGGTCTACAATGAAAAAGATGTTAATAAGTTGAAGCAGGACATATTGGCATAATAACTTGATGTTGTTATTGACTAAGGGGATGTTTGGTATAAGATTTGGGTTGGGATTTACGTCAGGGATTTACGTCATATTTAAGGTAAATTCAGTCAAACAGTTTTCGCAGGTCATCCAAATCCTACGCATTCGTAAATACTAGATTTACGACTTAAATCCGGGATTTACTAAGTCTGATTGTTCAACGGATTTACAGATATATGGACTGGGATTTACGGATTTAGCAAAAGAAGCGCACCAAAGGGAGAAATATTGTTACCTTCCCAACGGTGAATTCCTGTCGTGGTGAACTACGATCCGACAGGAACAACATCTTCAGAGGAAGCGGACAAACTTCGATACTTGTATAACTCAACTTCACGTGGAGTTGAATAGCAACGAATAAATGCATAAGAGGAAAAACAAAACCTAGTAATGAAGAAGTAGTAAAGCCAAAGGGGAAGTTCTAGTCTTCTGTATTCCAAAGACTTTCAAAGGACTGAGCTTGACGTTTGGTCCAAGTAGACGGAGTTAGACCATGCTCAACTAAATATTTCACACAATAAGGATACCAATCAAAAGGGAGTTCCACTATTTCATTCATAAAAGGATCATCAATGTGTACATCAGTTTCAATATTCTTGCTAGAAGAAGGAACAAACTTAGCAGCTTTACAATCATTGCTCAAAGCAGGTGAAACCTTAACTGCCAACCCGGCTATACTATCTTGCGATAGTGGGGTTAGAGCTAAAGTCTTCACATATCCTTTAAGCGTAGACAAATCTGAATCATCCTCTATATTTATATTTGCCTGAATTTTATCTTCATCACTGTCGTGTTCCAAAGAGATCTCAAATTTTGGCCTTTTGTTACTGTTTTCAGCCTTCGATACACATGATTCATCTTCTGAACCAGATTCTAAATCGATGTGTATCGTAGGGGTTTGCTTTTGTATGATTTCATTCATTGCACTTTCATAGTTTTGCCATCCTCTACCTCGACCTCGTCCCCACTGAGTCATCCTACCACCTCTTTGTGAGGGAGGAGTAGGATGCCAGCGGATACTATCTTCGAGGCAAGGATATTCTTCATCTATTTTTTCTTCTTTTTCATTTTTCTTTTCTAGTGCAATTTCACTTTTGGCCAATTTGGGATCTTCAGAAGCAACTGTTTGCTTTTTAGGCAAATAATAGGCGGCGTCTTCAGAAATTCCTACTTCATTAATTGAGAATGGTTGCAAATCTCCCTTAATGCAGTGCTCAACACCATCTCGAATGTACTTAATGCACTGATGAAGGGATGAAGGAACCATCCTATATTCATATTCATGAAGCCAGGGCCTACCTAGAAGAGCGTTAAAAGATGTTGGAGCGTCTAGAATATGAAACTTTGCTTCAATTCTTCAATCTCCAACAACAAAGTAACAGAACCCAAAGCCCTCTCGCCATTTTCGTGAAAACCCCGTAAGATCATTTTGTCTGAACTGAGCTTACGGACGTCTATTCTTAAATAGGCAAGAGTTCTGAGAGTCATAATATTCACTGATGCACCAGGATCAACAAGGATACGTGACAATCTGAAGTTATCTATGTTTACTGTTATGTATAGTGGACGGTTGTGATCAGCCGTCCCTAAACATAGATCTTCATCAGAGAAAGAAATTTCAGGAACTCCTTTAGAACAAAGAGCTTCATCAGGCTGTGCAGCTGCTAACTGGGCCATGCAAATATCCGGATCTAGCAGGGCCTTGATTAACGCTTCCCTCATTTCTTTGGAAAGGATCAAGGCATCGTAAATGCTCAGTTTGGCAGGCAGCTTCCTGAGATGAGCTAGGACATTGTAATCGACCTTGGGCATTCCACTTTCAACTGGACGAACAGGTTGAGGTGGAAGAGAAGATTCTGGTTCGTCAACAGCTTGCTTCCCTTTATCTTCAGAAGAAGTTTGAGGTGGTAGCACCTTGCCACTACGAAGTTTGATTTGCACTATCTCTTCAGAGGAAGTGACAGGCGGGTTATCTACTTCGACCTCAGCTAACTCTGATTTCATTTCTATGAAATCTTCAGAATCCGACATCTCTGCTTCAATACAGATAGGCGTACCCTGCAAATCAAGAACAGGGGCATCACTATCTGAATAATAGCCAAGAGAATGTTTTCATTCTTCAAAGTGAAATTGATCATGCAGAGAATCATTTTCAGATATGTTTTTCAAGTCATCCGTAACATCCCTATCAGAAATAGACAAGATATACACAGAATCCTTTTTCATTGATTTCATAACATCACATGGAACAAAGTCAAAGTCATCTAAAGTAAGAGGATTGAGGATTATAGCCTCCCCATCCGCAGAAAACACAACTTTACGGGACATAACACTGTCAACACTACTAAAAGAAACAAAACAATCTCTAGTATCCTCCTTCTCCTGAACTATAGGACCCTGGCTGACTTGGGCTTCCTTAAGCTCCGAAGGTGGAGTCGTCTCTATGCATCCTCTGGAACTACATCCAATATAACTAAAAACGCAGAGTAAAGGAAAAGCCAAAGTCAAAGACAGAGAACAACATCCATGATCCTCTTCTTCAAACTCCTGACTGATGCTGAAGGTGCCCTAACGGTGTCTCCTCAAAGTTGTCGCACTGCCGTCAAGTCTGTCGTGAGCAGAGTCGACCAGCTCTCGGTGCCTGGAAATCCTCTCCTGCAACTGTGGGAGTGTAACCCTGGTCCGCAAGACTGAGAGGGACCTCAGTCCTCGGATGTGGAACTCTGCCTCTCGACACAACGCCTCCCAGAAGGCTAGCTCGATAGTGCTTACTCCACAGAAGGCTAGCTCGGTAGTGCTTACTCCAAAGCTGGACCAAAAGACACCCGTACCCAGGATAGCCATGTGTAACTGACCCCGGTAGAACTGAATTAAACTGAAGCTAGTGAAATTCGGTTAAATAATAATAATAATAATAATTGTATTTATTATTTTATTATTATTAGAAGTTTAATCTCAAATATACATAGTTTTATTAAATAAAGTTCTTTAACGAATTATTATTAATAAAATATCAAAAGCATCTAAATCAAGGAAAATTAGAATTTGCTGTATTTAAAAGTTAAATTATGTTTTCGATTCACTAATATCTGATTTAAAATTAATAAAAAAATTAAATATGCATAGATAATTTGAAAAAAAAAATATTAAATTTCAAAAATTAAATAAAATTTTAAATTTATTTATTCTCTTAAAATTTTAATTATGACACAAGATGTTAAATAAACAAGCAATGGTATTTACAATAACTTTAAAAGTGAAATAATAAAATTTTAAGATATTTGCATAAAATATAAGAAATTATAACAATGGTGTAAAAATCAAAACAAAAATTAAAGTATACAAAAAACAGATGACGAATATCATACATTATAATTTTAAGAAGATTCCGAGCAAAATGGTATACAAATCTTTTGGAATGGGAGAAATGTTTCTCATAATTAGTGTATTGAGGATTCATTTGGGATAGTTTTTTTACTCGTTTCTATTATAATTTATAGTAAAAAATTTATTGAAAGCTATTAAAAAAAAGTGGCAAAAATATGTCCCAAACAATGCCTAATTTATATGTGATAATTCTAAAATTCTTAGAGAGACACTCCTCTATAGGTTCTAGATGAGCTAATAATACGAAATCAACTTCAAACTTTCAATTTACACTTGAAATTTAAATCGATAAAAAGTGGTGCTCATGCTCATAGAATTGTCATGAACCATTCGGGTGATATTTATCTCCTATATTTCTATTTTATCATTCTATTAATGAAAATGAGTTTGCTTCAATTTTACTCCGTGTATGACTAAATTCTCTAGTTTTTTATTGATGATGTAAATATCATATGTAGTACTAACGAATTCTCTTATTCTTTAAATTATTAAAATGATTTTTTCAATATTATTAGATCTTAATTTAGTGCACATAGTGGTCGTATATGTGATTAAAATTTGGTGTAATATGGAGCCTCAGCAGAGGAAAGTAGGCATAACTAGGAATATTAAATTAGTATTCTTCATACCTAATCATATGGTATAAAATGTACTAAATTCTTATGGAGATAATATAATCGTAGGTTGTTGGTGGACATCTTTTGTCCCTACAAGTTCGACAAAGATCTAAGGATATATATGCTCTGAATAGCATCATAATTAAAGAGATTCATTAGAAAAAATATGTTATTTATATTCATCAATCCAAAATATTTTATACATATAGTGTATTCATTAATTTTATCTAATTTTATATAAGTGATTGAATCTCTATAACATCTATTTTTATTGAGTAGCATAATTGTTGTAATTTTAGTAGACAGTACTAGTGTTTGTAAGTGAGCATATATTTCTCGTGGGATTGAAACTCTACTCTATCACTATATTACTTGATTCAGCATATATACTTGCGTATAATTAGTCGGGTTTTAATAATTTTTATATCAAAGAAAATCTAAATATTGTTAGGGATTGATAAAGCTCTAAATCATTTCATAAATTTACAAGTTACTCCATAGTGCCCCCATCATTTTTTGTAAATGTTAATTTTTGT